TCAAAGGAAGAAAATGTTTAATATGAGTTCAGCAGGTTTTATTGAAAACATATACAGAACACTATCTTTGTCATTGTACTTTCTAGCTACTCAGATAATTTCAATGAATTCAATACCATCTTTGAAGTCACAAAAAATATAACACGAATGCAATGCAATTAATTAATGTAGGCAATGTTGGCAGATAAGAGAACACTAAAAATAATCAGTGATGACCCCTGTAATAATAGATTCATTAACAATGTATTATATTGCATATAATACACCTTGTGTATCTGTGTGTGTTTGCATCCCAAAGCCATTGAGTTAATTCTGACTCATGGATAATAAATCACTCATATAGATCTTATATACGGTTTCTGAGGCTGTAAATCTTTAGGTAAGCAAATAGCTGCAGCTTGCTTTCTGCTTGGTTTGGGTATTTGCTTTCATAACACAAGTACTGGGTGTTAAGTGACAAGAACAAGTTTATGTTGAAGTTTCTCAGGTGAGCAAACGGGTATCAGCTATCATATGTTCACTTGTGCTCATTTGCATACTTGTTGGACGGAGTCTGATTTGTTAGACATTTAGGGCATCCTGGAAAAAATTTTGCTTGAAAAAAAAAAGAAAGAAATTATTAGAGGGAAATGCAACAATGCTCTACCAGCAGATTTAGCTCATTCTCAAATGGAGGGAGAAAACAAAAATCTCTGATGCATGAATGGGCCCTACTGGAATCCTGAGCTGGAGTGCCATGAAATTGTCTACAAGCATGAAAACTCATGAGTGCACAGGTACTTGTAACTGGGTAATCACTTCTAATGAATCCTTGCTTTACTAGGGAACATTTTTTAGCATCTACTTTATGATTAACATGCCACCTAGTTTTCAAAATAAAGGCAGATAAAAAGCTTGTAATTGTCAATTCTCCTATTATTGATTAGAAATTTTAAAGCTCTTTAAATGTTAACTAACCATATTTGGAAGGTAGCACATGTAACTAACACATGCAACTAACATATGACCTGTGCTTATGTATTTTAAAGCAAATTTTAGAAAATGTAATCCTTTGCTTTCCTTTGGTTCATATAAGAACCAATAATACCTATGAATTTAGTTGACCCTCTGCTGACACTGATCAAATTAATGAATTAATTTAAAATTCTATTTTAGTAGCCTTCATAAAATCATTACGAATAGTCCAGCAACGCTGAGCTTGGTGTTTTACATATTCAATCTCATATCTACTTCAACAACTCTTTCAGCATGGTCTTTAGATGAATGACAAAAGCAAAAACCGTTTCGGGTTGTTGCAGTTGTTAGGTACCTTCAGGGGGGTTCCAACCCTTGGCAACCCGGGGTCCAACAGAACGAAACAGCATCTGGGCCTGCGCCATCCTCACCATTGTTCTCAGATTGGGTCCGTTGTTGTCGATCCGTCTCATCAGGGGCCTTCTGCCCCTGATGGTTGCTGCCCCTCCACTTTACCAAGCATGGTGTCCTGTCCCAGGGACTGGCTTCTCCTGATACCATGTCCAACGTATGTACAATGAGTCTTGTCATCCTTGCCTTAGGCATATGAAACCCATTTATTCAGCAAAATGTATTCAATGTCTTCTATACGCTAGGCTGGCAAAATAAAGGTCAATCAGGTTTGGTGCCTGCATCTGGAGAGAGGACAAAAACAATGCATGAGCCTTGTTTATTTCCATTTTTAAGTAGAATGTACTGATGAAAAATATTTGATTAATATAAAATGTTAGAATAATAGGTTGAGACCATTCAAAACGTAGGTATATTTTTTTCTCTTTTTAAATATAGTTATTTATTGCAATCAAACATTATATATTGTTTATCATTTATCAAATATTTTGCATAATGTTTGGCTTTTAAAAATTTCCAGGGATAATTTTAGATGTATGCTGTGTTGGTCTGGGTAGACTAGGGAAACATCCCAGCCCAGTCCTGATCAAGACCATAAGTCCGATATTAGCTCATATATCCAGTAGTAGTCTGTAAATTCCTCTTCAGACTCATGCAACACATGCAATGATGGCAAGTGCAGGAAGATCACAGCCAGTGGATGGCAAGTCTTGTGGATCCAGTGGCAGTGGAAGCATCTTAGCACTGGCAGGGGTCTCCACGTGGTTCCTCCAACTCCAAGGCTCTGGCTGCCATCAGTATACCTCCATGAGTCTTGTCAGCAGGAATGTCTCCCCGGGAGTGAGCGTGAGTCCTGCCTCCAGTGAGGTATTTATCTCCTTAGCGCCTCCAAATGATTGACAGGCTAAACTCTACCCCTTCACTCTTCATAGTCTCAAATTGACAACAGATTATGTAACTTCCACATGTGCTTATAATTTTCATGGTCATAAAGAATAGAAGAATTCACTTACCTGCAAATACTCCCATTTTCTTTATGAAAATTTCATTCTTAATATTAAGCAGAGTTGAAATATACAAGGGAATATAACAATAAATAACAATAACATTCAATGACAATAGAAAGAGAATAAGAAAATTAAATGAATAAAAAAGCTCTTCTCTAGTTCAATAACTTTATTGAAATCCCTTGGGTTTTTTTATGTACTCTGAGGTGAGGCAAGCAGCCCCAGTGTCACTGTGGGTTAGGCATTGTGCCATTCTCTACATGGCTGGTAGTTCAAACCCACCAGCTGCTCCAAGGGATAAAGATGGGGCTGTCTGTTCTCATAAACATTTACAGTCTCAAACACCCCATATAGAATCACTATGAATCAGAACCAACTCCCTGGAAGTGGATTTGGTTTGGGTTTTTTGAACAAATAAGAACATGAATAGGAAGCTTGTAAAGGAGTTGACTTTTGATAATTTAAGGAGGCATTTCCTGAACTTGGTTGTGGGTTATAATTCAACAATATGTTGCATATGCTTTCTTTTATATATTCTAGTACTTATATTTTACAAAAATATTTTGCATGATTGTTTCATATGGCAATATAATCCACAAACTCTCTTACTCATATCAGAAGTGATGAAACCTTAGCTTTAACAATAATGCATGATATAAGGTTCTAAAGGTCAGTCATTCTTTCTGTGAAGAAAATGTGTTATTAGATTATTTTAAATCATATTTAGAAGCTGTTTTTTAAGGCTTGGTGAAATTATTAGTAGAAACTTTTCATAGTTGATCCATACATTTCTTAGTTGGTCAGATTGTTTGATTTGTTCCAAATTTTAGGCTGCAAATATGGAATTAATACCTACATGGTTTTAGGAGCGATGGGTGAGCATAATGGTAATATTAATATTAATGTATCCCTTATAATTAATATTAATTAAATCAGACATATTTCCAATAAGTCAATTTGCTTATAATAAAGGGTTCGTTTCTCTAACCTACTACATACACTGTGCAAGCTCTGCAGGGAGGATGAATTAACACTCCCAGCAATTCCTTTGTCTTGTCACTTCAGTGACATGAAACAGAGTTTGAACGGATATGGCCATAATGCTCAATATTTCCTGTGTTAGCAGAGTAAAAAGCTATTAGCGGTTATTTCAGGATTACTGTGTTTTCTGTACTTGTGAATTGATTTATGGTATTAGCCAAGCGAGTGATTGAACCAAAGCCTGTTCATTTCTTTGCAGATTGTTTTCATCTTCTTTTGTTGGAGGCGCTGAGTGATTCGGGTTACGCTTCAGTTAAAGAACTGTGTTGGCCCAGGTTTTGGAACGTAGAGAATAGTTTACTGTAAGACCTGACAATCCTGTAGAAATAGGAAAATGACATGAATATAAAAGGAGTTTCATCAAAGGACCCTGTAAGTTTGAGGGGAGGAAAGGTGACATCCCTCCCATCATGAAAATGTCAATTAGCCGTGTATCAGACACCTTCTTTCCTGCAGCTCAGTGATTCTTAAGCCCTTTTGGTGTGGTAAGAAAATAAAATGTAAACAAGTCCAAGTTATAACAATGTTCCAGCCTACTATACAAACCCATTGGGTTATTTTTAAAACTATGCTTTGGATGCCAGCATCATAACAGCCCCCTTCCTGCTGGCTGTAGTAAAGTTGTAGATCTATTTAAATCCGGGGAATGGGGCGGGGGCTGATGATTTAGTGTGGACTGTGTGTATGCAGTTCATTCTAATGTCGAGAATTCCTGGTGGTTCAAACAGCTTACTACGGTTTTCATTGGAGAGAAATGTCAATGTAACATTTTGGGGGCTGTATACATTCCATCGTTCTTTAGAAATGGCAGATGGACTATCCCTGACACCTCTGCTCCACGTAGTTGTTGCCATAAAAATGAATGTTTTAAACAGAGTGATCATAAAAGTTGCCTTTCCTGCTGCCCCTTCAGATTTGCAATGTTATATTTTCTCTTTAAAAATTCAACCTTGATATGTCTGTGAATAATCACTGAGAGAAAATTCGAAGGATTTGAAACATGTCATTGAGGTAAAATACACTACACTGTAAGAACTGCCCTTCTCCATGCTTCCTGCCACTCTTGGCTGTACCCGTGTCCTGTTCTGTCCTTACTTTGAAAGTCAGGCATATTCATTTAAATATGATGCACTGAAAGGATCAAAAAGTTTTCAATAAAATAGGATCACTACAAAATGCTGTGCCAAAGATTTTGAACAAGCCGTTAGGTGGTTGTCTTGTTGGTTTGTTGTAAGTGTATGCCAATGGTCATTTTCATGACTTTGCTCTCTTGTAGCAAAAAATATTCTTGTTCCTGATGTGGGAACATTTTAGTTGATTTTCAGATTCCACAGATTGAAGGGACTTTAGAAACATACTTATTATGGAAATATTAAGACCAACATAAAATCAGAGCAGGTTTCAAAAAGTTTGTAGGAAAATCCAATTGTCTTTTAATTCCACTTTCCATGAATTTTTTGAGGCTCTCATGTAATTTGATGAGCCCCCATATGCATATTTTTCAACTCTAGTCATTATCAATAATTAATCAATTATTTCATTCTGTCATCTCTATTTTAACAAGCTACTTTTATTTTTATGTTGCAGACCACCCCCCTAACAAGGATTTGATACAATAAATATTCATGTTTACACATCGACTCTTCTATGAAGGAGGTATGCTGACCTTAGCCAGCTCCAGCCAATATAGGCTTGCCTGACCCTTGCATGTGTGCTAAGTTGGCAAGTCATCAAGAATTGGCTGGTGCAGGGTAACTGACCTTTCATGGTTGGTGGTGTACTGTTTGCTAGCTTTGGAAAAAAGGCAATAAGGCCATGTGCCTTATACCATTCAGTTGCCTGGCCCAGGTTTGTTCTAATGATAGCTGGTATGTAAGGTCCAAGAGATAGTCATTGTGTATAACACATTTTGAGACCTAGACTCAGAACAGGTATACTCATGGTTTCTATTACATATATTTTTAAGCATTTTATTGGGGGCTCGAACAGCTATTATCACAATCCATACATACATCCATTTTGTCAAGCATATTTGTACATTTGTTGCCATCATTCCTCTCAAAATATTTCTACTTGAGTCCTTGATATCAGCTCCTCATTTTCCCCCTCCCTCCCTGCTCTCCTTTCCCTCATGAACCCTTGATAATTTTTAAATTATTATTTTGTCATATCTTACACTGGTCAACGTCTCCCTTCACCCACTTTTCTTTTGTCCATCCCCCAGGGAGGAAGTTATATGTAGATCCTTATAATCGGTTCCCCCTTTCTACCCCACCTTCCCTCCAACCTCCCGGTATCACCATGCTCACCTCTGGTCCTGAAGGGATCATCTGTCCTGGATTCCCTGTGTTTCCAGTTCCTATCTGTACCAACGTACATCCTCTGGTCTAGCCAGATTTGTAATGTAGAATTGGGATCATCATAGTGGGGGAGGAAGCATTTAGGAACTAGAGAAAAGTTGTATGTTTCATGTTTACTACCCTGCACCCTGACTGGCTCGTCTCCTCCCCGCGACCCTTCTGTAAGGGGATGTACAGTTGCCTACAGATGGGCTTTGGGTCTCCACTCTGCACTCCCCCCAACCCATTCAAAATGATATGATTTTTCGTTCTTTGAAATCAAGCCATAAAGTCTGCCACGTGCAAGAAGTGAAGAAGCAGTGTTATGATAGGAAGAAAAGTGATTTTGAAAAATATGTGGATTCAAAAAGAAGAACAGAATTTATGTTTCTGAAACCAATCCTTCTACTTTCCCTTTCCGATTTTTTTGATGAGTTCTCATTGTCATCAAGTCGATACTGACCCATAGAATCTTACAGGACATAGTAAAACTGCCCCTTTGAGTTCCCAAGACTCTAACTGTTTTACAGAGTAGAAAGTCCCATCTGTTAACCAGGGAGCGGTGGTTTTGAATTGCCAAACTTGCAGATACAACCTTGCCCAATACATCAGATGATGTGTACTATGAATTAATTATTTGACCACTGAATGCAAGTATGTGTTAGAGATATTGTAGCTTTGGTTCCAGATCACTGCAATAAATGGATTCCTATGAATTTTCTGTTCTTTCAGTGCATATCAATTATGTTTACATGATGCAATATTCAGGAGCCTCGTTGGTGCTCCGGGGAAGAAAGATGAGGCTTTTCATTCTACTGATGAGTTCTTAACGACTTTTCTACTCTTCTAAGGATTGACAGTCTCAGAAACCCATAGTTTCTGTGGGTTGTACACTGTCGTGTTTCTATGAGTCTGCATCAACTTGATGGCAATGAGGGTATTCTATTAATTGTGCAACAGCAATCTGAAAAATTTTGAAATATTTCGATAATTACCAAAATATGGCACAGAAACACAACATAAGCACATGCTGTTAGAAAAAAATGGCTTCATTAGACTAGTTCAAGGCAAATTTGCCACAGACCTTCACTGTAGGAAATGCAATGTCTGTGAAGTGCAATAAAGCCCCACTCAATTAAATGACAGTATACTTGTACTTCTGAAAAAACTTTCATTTTGAAAGTCTTGGGGATTTTTAAAAATGTAATAGATATATAAGGTACCATATTTTCTGGATCATAATATTTTAATAGATACTCTTATTACCACTAGCAACTTTCACTATCATTATCAGTATTACTATTAGCAAATATCTGTTCTTTTCCTAAGGTAAACCTATATTAACTTATGAAGCCCTCATTAATGTGTTGTGGGGAAAGAAACTATTAGCTTCCTTTGTAAAGATAAGTTAGAGTTTGGGGAAAATGGAAAAGACCATTGTTTTGAACATGTGTTTTCTTGAATTGATTCATTCTTCATGATCTTATTTACCACACTTTATTCACTTCTGTTCAGCAGGGCACAATCACTTTGCATTTATGTAAGCCTTTAGGAGCCTTAAGGAGCCCTGTCCCATACGTGTTGGATGGCGAGCCACAGGTTGACAGTTCACAGTCATGAGCTACTTGCAGGGGAAAGATGAGGCTGTATGCTCCTGTACATAATCGTAGCCTTAGAAATCCTATAAAGATCCTTAGGTGTCAGAATTGACTTCATGAAAGTGGAGTGTTTGTTGTGTTTACTGTTTGGAGGAGTTGTAAGAGTCCTGGGTGGTCCAAATGATTAACATGCTCAACTACTGATTGAAAGCTTAGAGGTCCAAATCTACAGAGTCCTCCTAGGAGAAAGGCCATCTGCTTTTGAAATATCAGCCGTTGGAAACCAGGGAGCACAGTTGTTCTCTGTCACAGATAGAGGGCTAGCAGTAAGAATCCCCAAAATAGCCACTGGTTTGAGTTGACAAACGCTTAGTTTTGTATATTTTTTACAAAGCTGAAACAAAATTACATGGATAACAATGAGTACAGGGGGAAAGAAAATGTTCTAAAATTGATTGTGGTAAAGATTGTACGACTTCTTGAAATGGTTGAACTATTGAATTGTATGATATGTAGACAAAGTGCCAAAAAAACTATTTTTAAAACAATAAAAAAAAAAATAGCCACTGGCTTTATGGAAGCTTCACAAGCAGGTTGAATTGACAAAGGCTGGACCGATTACATTTTTGACTTTCTTTTAGAGAATGACTTTAAGGTAAGAGTAGGTTACATCTGGCTTTGCCGAATTGGAAGAATTTTAGGAACATCTGAGGGGATATAAGTTTGTGATAATAGTGATGATTTTATATTACAGGCCACTGTATTTTGGAGAGCAAAGGGTTTGCATTTTAAGTGATTGATTTGAAAGCAGCCCTCTGTGGTGTGCATGCCTGATTCCACGTTTCTGATTGTTAACCAGTGTGTTGCTAATCTTCCTGGCATTATTCACACCTGAGAAATTGAGACAGGTCAGAAAGTGTCACGTGCATGATTCTACTGTTGAAAAACAGGGTTACTAAACAGAATGCGTGTTATGCATTCTGACAAGGAAATTATCGCTGACTCCCTAAACTGAAAGCAATTTCTGAGCTGTCGTCATCACTTAATGGAGTTCTGCTTCCAGGGGAGTTGCATTTTAATGTCCAATGACTTTTATTTAACAACCTCTTGAACATATAAGTCTCAAGTAAATTGAAACTAACCCCTGCAGGACATAAAGTCAGATGTTGAATTAACCATTATCCATAATCTGGTGTCGTTAATGTTTGCCATGTCTCTTAATCTATAGTCTTATTTCAATCCAATGGTTCGTGTATCTTCTTCTTTATGAGAACTGCTTGGACCAAGTCCATATACTTGCAGCTATTAAAGTTTGAAAAGTTAGATTGTGACTAACAATTTCTATCTCTAAGTTTTTTAACTATAGCAGGTAGAGTCTAGTGAACTTGCTCATCTAAATTAGGATATTAATTAAGACTGTTCTCACTTATTTGTCTGGCTGATATTTTTATTCCCTCTTTCAGAGCAGGATGACATATTGTTTATAAACCTGAAAATATGGTTTCCTAATAGCATCATGGTTTTGAAAGCCTTGCTCTTTATAAATAGAGAGCAGCTCATTAAAGAAAGACATGAGAAATCCTTAAGCAAAAGAACTTGAATATTAATGGAATAGAAGAGTAGATAATAGATTTCAAGCAAAGAATGATCTATAATTACAAACAATGAATTTAGATAACTCTTATCAATCTGTTTCAGATTAGAAAACAAAGCAAATATTCCAAAGAGCAAGCATTAACCTTTTCCTTAGACTTTTCATTTAAGCAATGACTATCTGTCTCAATGTCACCTCTAAACGTAAACAAACACAGAACTTAGTTTACCTAGTTTAGCGAGAGTTCTGATTTTTTATAACAAAAGCAATGTTTGCCCATTTTGTTGATGTTGTTTGGAATAGAGTTGATTCTCTTATTCCCTGTTGTTACGACCCATGGAAGCCCCTTCAAACACTGACAGTCTTGGTGATGTTGTGAGTTCAGACCCACCAGTTGAAGCATGGCTTAAAGATGAGACTGTTGGCTCCTATAAAGATTGGAAGGCCTGGAAATTTATATTGGGTCGCAGTAAATTGGAGTGTACCCAGTGGTACAAGAAGCCTTGTTCCTAGGGTAAACACAGGGTTAGCGTCATTGGAAGCTCTGACCAATCAATACTTGTTTTATTATGATTCTGTTTAAAGACAATTTTTTGCTGCAGTTATGAGCCATGGAGTCACTTGACTCATAAGGACCTATGAATAATAAAAGGAAACATTTTCCATTCCTGTGACATCCTCACATTCATTACGTTTCAGTAGACTGTTGCAGTCACTGTGTCAGTCCAGCTCATTGAAAGTCATCTTTTTTTGCTGACCTTTAGCTTTATGATATCCTTCTCCAATGTTTGGACTGTCTTGTGCAAACTAAGAAAAATAAAGTCCTTCCATCCTCACTTCTACAGAGTATCTTGCTGTTCTTCACCTGAGATTGATATCTCTTTTCTTCTGGCAGTCCATGGTATATTTAATATTCTTTGCCAATAGCATAATTCTAATGCATCGAGTCACATATGCTAAATGTCTTCCCATAAAAAGAGATGCATTTTATTTAATGCACATTAAATTAATTATAAATTAATAAACTAAATGATTAAATGCTTATTCTTTGACATTGAATTTATGACCAATAGCACTATAAGTCATTCTTCACCCTAGTTTATCTAACCCATTTTTTTCTCTTAAGGCACATCATTGAGCATACATATGCTTGTAAGAACAGTGGAAAGTACTTTAAAAGTAGAATTGGAGGGCATAGTAATCAGAAAAGCACCACCAAAAAAGGTTAAAAAAATGAGAAACATGACGTTGAATGAACTGCCAAAAGAACTGCCCAAAGGACAATTGCTTACCAAAGAACAAGAGCTGAGACAAGAAGACAAAGAGGAGGTCGCCTTCTCTGACCTTAGCTGGCACAGAGTCTGTCATGTGAACATATTTTTCACTGCTCTGTGAATGTGAGCAGGTGACCATGTAACTGTCGCAGGTCCTAGGTTACAAATAAATTTTAACAAGTAGATCAATTCACAGATATGGAATCTGATAATAATGAGATTGACTCTAAGTCAATTTATCAGAAAAATGGAATTCAATTAATATAGTGATATATTCAGTTATAAATGCAAGTTTTTATCATTTTACAAAATATTCTAGACCACATAAGGATTTTCCCCAATTCTCATTTTACAGGTAGATTAATTGCACTAGGAAGATTTAGATTCATGTCATTACTCAAATTCATGAAGAAAAAATCAACAGTTTTTTCTTTAGTGTGGTGGTCTTTTCCATCATGATCAATTGAACTTTTCTCAAGTCAGAATGTAGACAGGATTACTGTCTACTCAGGTCCCCAAATGCATAAAACAAATGAACAGCATAATTACTAATTTGCATTTGACTTACTTGACCCACAGAGATAAGGGAGCCCTGGTGGCCCTGTAATTAAGAGCGTGCATGCTCTTAATTCAATGCTCTTAAATTCAAGCCCACAGTTGTTCCACAGGAGAAAGAAGGCAGTCGGCTTCTGAAAACATTTCAGTTTTGGAAAGCCTCAGTCAGGAGCAGTTAACCTTGTCCTTTGGGATCACTATAGGAGGGGATTGACCTGATGGCAATAGACTTGGTTTTGTTGCTTGATACATTTGATAGTCCATAACTATTGCGATTCAGCTTGGATAAAACTTTAAAAGCCACAATACTTGGAATTAAATATTACACTCATAGTTTGTTTCTATCTATATTGTTATTAATTACTAGTTCAAAATAAATGCAATATACATAGTCAGTGAAAAGGAAAATCATGTACATAAGAAGCTGATATTACAAGTAAGAAAAAAAATCATTATTTGCAGAAGTACATTCTAAACACTGAGATGTTTTACATCAAATTTCACTTTCACAGTGTTCTACTAAAAAGTAAATTGGAAAGAGAAAGGAAACTTTGAAACTTGAACCTTATTGTATTTGATAAATTTGGAGTGAATAACTATCCTAATTAAATGGAAAATAATTGATGATGCTGTTTGCTTCTTGAGCCAAACCCACCTTTAGGACTTTTAGTTGAAATCCAGGTCTTTCTCCATATCTTTTATTTTTTATCTTCTTTATAACTTGCCAGAATAAAATATTACATTTGTGATCTTTATTGCTGAGTCAAAAAGAGTTAGGGGCCTGATATAAAAACTAAATGTAAAAAAGCAACATTTTTAATGAAATTAACTAAGGCTAGTCTATTAGTGTGCTACATGTGGAAGTGAAGAGTAATTTCACCAGAAAAATAAAATATTACAGACATAATCTTCCATGTTGATTCAAAAATCGGTGCATTATATAAAGACTAATTGTGATAAAGCCACCTGAGTAAAATTAACTCAATATTTAGACACATTCCTTGCAACATACTAGTATCTTCTAGTTAAATATTTATATGACTTAAAAATATTATTTAATTGAAATGGTTTCTGGTTTATAATGTAGCATATAGGAAGTACATTTTAAATACAAGAAGGACAAGCAATTATATATTTGGGAAAGTATTATATAATAGTTTCTTAAAGAAAAATATTTTTAAAGAAAAAACTAAGCTCTAGATTGATACTTTATACACTATGTACTAATATTCTATTCTTTTTTTTTTTTAATGCTTCCAGTCTCACATCGTTCTCCTCAGTTATACCACGCGATTCTTTCTGGTTTCTTTCTTCCCTGAAGAGCAATGGGGATGCTATTAAGTGGAAGAGGATTGTTCCTATGTATAATTTTCTTCCTGTTAAAATCCTCAACAGCAATTGAAATACCACTCTCAGGTAAAGTTACTGAATTTAGTAACTTTCATGAATTCCATATTTGTTGTATTTTTTTAAGTAGTGAACTTATAAATTAAGGATGCATCTCTTCTGACATAGTATGTTTTCTAGTAATCTGTAGTCAGAATTCAATACAGTAGTTTTAGATTTTGGATGAAGTACATTTTGCTGTTACTATTTTGCAGCTTAGGCTTTATTGTTTATAATTCTGCTCTTGATTATTTGGAAGCATGGAAAAAATGAAACAAAAACAAACCAATCTATATACATATCTCTCTCCATCTCTATATATGATATGCCATTTTATTATAAATCTGATTGTCTGAAATAGCATAAGAAGCTTTTACTTTTAAAGCTCTGATTAGTTTAAGAAGAATTATAATTTTAGAGTTACTGGAATTAAAAGAAAGGGATTGTATAAAAATTGCAATAAAACTCCAATGATATCTCAATATCTAAATATAAAATATCTATATCTAAGTTCATTCCACTCCAATCAATTGATAAATTTAAATGTTCAACTTAGCAAACTTAAATTTATCATGTAACAAGAAACACAATCTATAGATAGCATGACAATTTAAATCAAATATGGCCTATAATATTATAAGCATATTTTACTTTTAAATATTCAGATTAATTTAAAGATAATCATAATTTAAGGATAACTATTAGTAAGCACATTTATAATGAGGAATTGCCAGAATTCAACAGAAAGGAACTGAATAGACATTGCATCAATATAATTATGCATAAATGAAAATAATAAATTAGAAAAAAACTAAAAATCTATGGTTTATACTAAAGCAAGACTCACAGAGCACATACAATGATGGAAAATGCAGGAAGATAACATGTTAGTGTGTGAAAAGTCTTGTGGATACATTGGCAGTGGAGGCATCTCAGCTGTGGTGCAGCAATCCAGGAGCTCTCTGATTGACTCAACAGCAGAAAAAGTGAAGCAGAGAGAGAGCGTGTCCTGCCTCCAGGGAGGAAGAGAGGAAGTTCACAGAATCCTCATGATAAAGCCACACCCACAAGGAAGCATCATCAGGCTGTATCTTGTTTGACAGGCTAGGCTCTACCCCTTCACTCTGTTTACCAGGTTGACACAGATTATGTAATTACTACCACAGATCACCCCTTGTCAACTTGACACTTTTACACAACTCTTTAGCCATACATATTTTTAAAAACAAAGCAATAATAAAGTCATATTTGTGCCTAACAGGATAAAACTAAAATGCATGCAACTCAAAATGTGCCAACATCATTTAAACATAATATTCTGTGAGTGAACAAAACAAAAAAAGGTCTAAACTTTAAAATTGAAGTTTAATAACAATAGGCAGAAGAAAATGCATAAACCTAGTATAGCCAGATCCTAAACTCAATTCTTAAAACAGTCAAATTCTATCCTTATCTATCTTACTGTACTTGTCATCTAAACTATTCCATTGATAAGAAATATGACCATAGGCCTCTGACTGCATCGAGTGGTGGTGAGACCTCTGTCAGTGGTTTTAACCTTCCGTCAACATTTTGACTAACCAGCATGGTTTCACAGAGGTTTAAGGGGTGATTTTTGTCCCCTGAGCTCAAAATTTACATTTACCACATTCATTTCTGGCATTACGAAATGGATTAGCCAAAGACAACTTCTAAGAATCAAAATTTTCACTTCCCATGACTTTTCCAGAAAAGAGTTGAGTAAACAGTGTGGCCATATCTAACCTCTAGCTAGCAACTGAAAAGCTGCCATAAAGCAGAGGTCAAAAAGCATCCTCTCTCCATTTTCAGGATTTGTTTCACTAGTACTCCACTTCCGGTACCATAATGTGCTAGGCCAGGCTGACAAGAGAAACAAATCCAGGGCACCCATATTTGTGTAAGAAAGAGCTTTATATCAAAGTATAATTGTCTATCAAGAAAGCATCCCAGACCAATTCAGATTAAGTCCATCAGTCCAGTATTAGCCCATAAGTCAGATGCTATGTCCATAAATATGTCTTCTGACTCACACAGAACAGGCAATGATGCAAAATGCAGGAAAATCCTGTTTAGTGGGTGAAAAGTCTTATGGATCCAGTGGTGGTATAAGCATCTGGCACAGGTCCCTACATGGCTTCAGGAGATCTCTGATTGAGTCAACAGCAGAAAAGCAAAGCAGAAAGAAAGGGTGTCCCGACTCCAAGGAGAAAAAGAGAAAGTTCCCAGAATCCTCATGAGAAGGCCATGCCCACAAGGAAGCATCATCATGTAATTACCTCACTTAGTCCATTATAAAAACCCATAATAATTAAAAGTTAAAAGTATATATTCAAATAATCTATTTAGTGATACACCAACTATATAAGAAATGAAAATGTTTTCTTGTGTTATAAACTCATGGGATCTAAGAGTCCTTAAAAGATAACTTTTAGCAAGGATTAGATTGAACCATATGAAATTACCAATATTATGCTTTTTTTTAACCTAAAAAAGGCAATTTTATATGGTTCAATATCCTAAAATGTCAAAACTAAGGTAGCGGCTCAGTTTAGTCCAAGTTTCGTATGACCTAAGAATTAATGTTGCAAATATTATAAATCTAACTAATTGTAATGAGCCTGCTCAAGAGTTCATGAGGGGTATCCTAAATAAAATGAATATTCAAATTGTTAAAAAAAAAAGACTATTTAGACTGTTTTTCTCCCATAGTGTTTCACTAGATTATCCCTAACTCTATTCCAAACATCATTTGGAGAGCTATAATATACTAGGTATTGAGTAGATCTTAGGTTCTTGGCATGGGAAATGCTCTTTGCTGATGAATAGTCTCTACCTCCAAAAGTTTAATAAATGTTAGAGATGCTAAAATGAATTAAATATTTCTTGTGAAAAATTAAGAAATTGATTGTAATTAATAAAACCGGTGATTCCCTGATTGATTCTTAACGTGAGTTCTCTACATAATCAAAACCAATCACGAAAATGGTTCACACATTGTAGAAGTAGAAAAATGCCAAGAACATGGGTCATTATGTTGGGCTAGTGTCTTTCCTGATTCATGTAGGAGTGGGGCTGATGAACCAAGAATATGGCAGAGCTAGATTTATCCAAGGTTGTCAGACTAGATTGCAGGCCGCTGATAAATCCAAGGATAACCAAGTAATATAACAGGCTATTGGCTCAAGTCTGGAGAACCAGAGGTCTACAAGCCATTTTCAAGATCCAGATCAGGTAAAAAGCAAGCAAACTTTTTCACATGCCCACTTATGTTGGAAGTGGGTCACATTCCCATATAAAATTCCTTCCAACTGATAGGCTATTCACAGCATATATCATTATGGAGTGGATTAAATTATGTTACATCTCATCACAGGGGATTACTAGGTTTTAATCATTAAACCACTGATAATCCTGGCCCAACAATGTTGGCACAAAACTTAAACTGTTACATACACATACTCTAAAGCATGTATTTTTTAAATCCATTTACCAGGGCTATCTTAAGTCACTTGATGCAGCAATTTAACATGACATAACATGGGAAACTTTGAATTTTATCCATTTCCCAAGGTAAGAATCTCTTCTTTGCTGCCCTTACAGATAGCCAAGCCTCTGGTCCAATATTCATTGTTCTTTAGAAATTCTACTTAACACATACACACATATGTATACTACTTATGAACATATTTATGTTATCATTTAGTTAATCTAAAATTTCTCAATTAAGCACAATATGGAATTTTCAGGTGGTGAAAATAGTTAAAATGCTTGGCTCTTAACCAAGGTTACCATTTTCAGTTCACCCAAAGCAAAAAGAAGGACTTGGCGTTCTCTTTCTGAAAAATCAGCCATTAGAAACCCTTCAGAGAATGTGTGAGGAGGATTCAAGATGGTGGACGAGGGAAACACACTCCCTAGACCATTTCAATAGAGACCTGAGAAAACGAGTGAAATGAATACGACAATCTTCACACCCAGAAGCTTGAAGGAAAGAATTCAGAATTAAATCAACTACTGATTAGAGGAAGATACAGAATTAAAACAGCCAACAAGGAAGCATGTGAAACAGTGAAATGACAATGGCTTGGCAAAGCATAGTTGTTTTGAATGATTGCAGAACAGGAACTAGACATTTCCATCATGACCAAGACTGGACCGGCACTCACAATGGTGACCAGCGATCTTAGAGTTGTGATCTCTTCTCTTACTCTACACAATTTATGCTTATCACAGATGCAATCCCTCAACCTGATGGCTGATCAAAATCCCTCCTTAGACCCACCCTACACTAACATTTCTGAGCTCGTTCCTCATCCTCTCCTTTTTATTTCCTATTTTTCTCTTTTTCTTTTTGTTTTGTATTTTTTGTTTCTTTTCTTTGTTGTTTGTTATTTGAAGTCTTATTTACCTGTTAGTTTTGAAACCACAGAGCTGGCACACCATGCCCACACCTTTGTGGTCTGCAGTGCACATGCCTGCAGAAAGAGGACCAACCTCACACTTTAAGCATGTTTTGTGACAAACTCTTGTACAAGATATGTTCTATTGTTTCTCTTGTTCTTTCTTAAATATTCCTCACACATCTTGTATTTTTCTTTTCTTCTGACCAGCCTCCTTTTTCTCTATTAGTTAGTCAATAGCAGGTGAACATATCAAGCCACCATATTCACAGAGTGAACACCATCACTCACTCAAGCACCATTGGCTCAATGACAGACAGTGGCCAATATCTCCATGTTCTGCCCTCAGATACTTGCCAGGACCAGCATTCAAAACATATGCTCACACTCACACCCACTGCCAAATCTACTCAAAGACACACGAGGCTGTCTCAGGGTCGCCAAAGTAGCACCCTCACCATGGTGTGAAGCATACCAGCATTGTTGTTGAGTTTCGTTGCCCTATGTCAGTTCTGACTCATAGTGATCCTATGAACAACTAGACAAAATGTAACAAAATAGATACAACATAATGAAAAACAATCTGAACTGGTCCATCCTGAAGAATCA